GCACAAATACTTTATGTTTTATTAAAGAAATTTAATATGAAAAATATGTCAAAAATTGAGACTAGTCATAACAATAAGATATATAAATTAAAGCTTCAAAGCCAGTGGGAAAAAAATTAAAATAAAAAACTAACAATACTTACCCCCTCAAGAAGGAAGGAAGGAAGGAAGGAAGGCAGGCAGGAAGGAAGGAGGGAGGGAAGGAGGGAGGAAAGAAGGAGAAAAGCAAACAGAAAATACAAATTAATATGTTAGAATAATAGGAAGAAACTCATTAACAGTACTGCAGGGATAAAAAGAGCTAGTAGGCTTGATAAAAGTCTTAATACTTTTCTTTTTTGTTCTTATAATATCTAATACCTCTAATGATAAGAAAATAATAGAATTTACAAAACGAAAATAGTTAATCTAGTATAACTCTTCTTTGACACTGTGGGAAACACAATCGTTTTCCCTTTCAATATCTATGGCATACTATAATTTCAATAAAATATACTCTAGTATGTTCTTCAAGACCCCTGATTTAATTATTACTAGTCCCAAATAAAGCAGGATTCTGCAACCAATATATAAAAGATACTATTTTTTTCTTTAATACCTTCATCATCACTACTTTGATGCTGCTGGGGTGTGGATTCTAATGCAGGGATCTCTTGTGCTTTTGTGCGTATCCAGGAAATTTGCTCAGCAGGTGCCTCCGATGCCCAGTCACACATGTCAAACTCAAATCCACAGGCCTGACACACTAAGGAGGGAAAAAGAGATCTTGGTGGAACAGTATATTCTACCAGAGTGGCTGTTTAACCAGCGTTATGAGTTGTAATCAAGCAAGAGGCTTACACACACACACACACACACACACACACACACACACACACAAATTCATATCTGGAAATTTTGATACAATAAGCCTTAGGGTATACTAGCAAGTCTATTTTGCAAAAATTCTTCAGTTGATCCAGATTTGCAACTTCCCAAATAAGAATCATTGCCATGAAGGTTCCTAGTTATTGCTGCATATACCACTGCTTCAGCTGAAATTTTTTAAATGGCTTAATATTTGACCTTACCTATTTTATGGAATTAGATTAGTTTAATTTACTTACTATTCATAATCACATAGAAATTTTAAAGAAGAAACACTGCATATAATTTCTAGATGGCTTTAATGAGGTGGTTTAACAAAACGTCACCACCTTAAATTGATGTATTTCGTATCTTTTACTTTATAAATAAACCATATCCTTCCAATAATACCTGAGCTAAAAATGAGACACTAATGTCAACAAAGGGTGGCATGCACATATGCCTATCAGTGGTCTGAGTCTTATAAATTGCCCATACACCAAGAAGGTGGGCATCTGAATTTAACACTTACATCTCAATCCTTCATCTGTTGAATCAAATCTGCAGAGATCTGTATCTGGAGGACATAGTTCCTGCGTGGTATTTGATGCTTCTTGACATGGTAAAATTTCATCTGTTAAAAAGATTGGCAAGAAGTTAGATGCACGTGCAACTGGAAGGACTCATGTATTTTTAAAAATACTAATATTCACTCTACAAAGAACTCTCTACCCAGCTCCACTTCATGGCAGCATCACCCCTTAGGTTACTCTATTATATACACAAGTGCTCACACAGAGACGGAGACAGAAAATGACAGAATGAAACATCCCTACCAATGCTTTTGTATTTTAATCAGAACTCTGTGGTGACCAGCAAGCCCCCAAACCAAACTCCATGTTTCCACTGAAGTGAGTAATCTGCCCCTAATGTTGACACTCAGAGCCTACTATCAGGACAATTGTACATATGTCAAATATAACATAGGGCGCCCTCTTGAACTGAAAGCTGGACCTGCCTTGGAACTACTTTCTCGAAAGCCTCTCAAATTGTGCCTGCTTTTTTGTTCGTTCATTTGTTTGTTTGTTCTATTTTTCCCAAACCCTCCCAATGCAGGACTTGCAGGAAGACTAGGAGTCCTTCTTGCCCCATTGCCACTACCGGACAATTCTCACTCTCACCTTTCCAAATGCCCAAGTTCTGATCCTCTTGATATCAAATGGCCCCCCTCACCGTGCCAGCTTGTCACCGTCACCTACAGACATTGGTGCACGACCCCTCTGTCCATAAAGATTTTAGCTCTGGGCTCACTGTCACTCTGTCATTTCAACGACCACTTTCACTTGCTTCTCAGTTTCTTGATTTGTATCAGTGATGATCTCGAAAGAGAACTTTGATGAAAGACAACCTCTGCCCCTACTCCTCTGACCAAGTATTACCACGACTAAGGACGATTACTTGTCCCTGTCTTATCAACTGGCCCACTCCCCAACCTTCACCCCACCCTGCCAGCTCCCTCCCTTTGTATCTCAACCCTAACGACACCAGGCCCTGCAAGCCCACGGTCCTACAATCCTTCCAGTTTCTTCCATCGTCTATCATGTCCTCATTTCTTTTCTTTCTTAGGGCTTTTAGGCAAGCAGTCACCCCCTGGTTTTTCTCATGCTCCCCCACAATCTCACAGCAAAAACTCTGGCAAACACAGCTCTCCACCTCCTCCGGCTGATCCTCTGCCCCTGAATGGGAGGGGAGAAATCCCACGACCATGCTGACTGAACATGGTGCTCATGACCACTCAGGCCATTATGTCCTGGCAATCCTAATTGTGATTCTTTTCCTCATTCCTGGACAACTCTTCAACGCTTTCCAGTCCCTTCTTTTAACATCCAACTCTTCCTGCCCCATCGTCATCCTCAGCTAATCATCTTACTTCACATTTCATAAGGAAAATGAGAGAAATCAGAAGAAAACTTCACAAATCCATCACCCATCTTCCTGCCCAGCTACCCACATGGGTCAGCTTCCCGTACCCTTCTCTGGGCCACGCCTTTCATTTCTACAGAGATTGCATTTCCGCTTTACTATTTAAGGAATCATTCCAGCAATTTTCTCCCTGTCTCACCTACATCAACACATTCTCTTTTTCTATGAGATCATTCCCTTCAGCACCAAATGGCCCCAACTTCAGCCACCTTAAGAAATCTCTCATGACCTGACAACCTTCTCCAACTAACTTCTCAAAGTTCTTCCCACTCTCACTGACTCCAACACCAATTCTTCTCCCCCGTTTCCCTCATGAACCTATGCCAATGAAGGTGTTTTTTAATTGGGATAAAATTCACATAAAATTCAACATTTTGACCCTTTTTAAAGTATGTAAGCCAGCAGCTTTTAGTATATTCACAGTGTGGTGCAATAACCACCACTAATTCCAAAACATTTTGTCGCCATAAAATAAAGTCCCATTAGCAGCCACTCTCCATTCTCTCCTCTACCCTGGACCCTGGCAACCCCTAATCTGCTTTCTGTCTCTGTGGAGGTGCCTACGCTGCGTATTTCATATAAATGGAATCGTACAGTACGTGGCCCTTTTGTGCTTGGCTTCTTTCATTTAGCACAATGTTTTCAAGGCTCAACCACGTTATAGCACGGATCAATATTTCATGCCTCTTTTTTTCCATCCTTGCCACTTCACTGAAACTGCAGGTTGACCCCTATATTGCTAAATCTAATCATTTAATTTTTCCTCCTCAACATACTTGACATATCAGTAATATTGGACATAGTTAATCACTCCCTCCTTCTTGACATATTTTCTTCACCAACCTCCAGCACGTCATTTTCTCCTGATTTTCCTGTTACATTATTCTCAGTCTCCCCTGCTAGATTTCCCTCACCTTCTAATGTTAGATTGCCCCAGACCTCAGTCTCTGGGTCTCTCTTCTACACCCTCACAGCCTTGTTAATATCTCATGCCCTTAAGACCTTTCCTAAATGCTAATGACGTATACAATTTTTATCTAAGGCCCAGAACTTTCCCTGGACTCAGATGTGGATATCCTGCTGCTGACTTGGCCCCTCCACTTGGGTAACTAACAAGCATCTCAATAGAACTCTTTACAGATGTGAGTTAGATCATGTCTCGTTTGCTCAGCACTCGTCCACGGGTTTCCATCCTACGTGAAGGAAACATCAACATCCTCACCATGATCTTCCACATGCAAATCAGGCTTATTTTTGCCTCAGAGTCTTTGCATTTCCAGTTCTTTCCAATATGCACCTTCCTTGTTCCCTCCACTCCTTGGCTATTTTGCTCAGATAATCTGTGATCATGCTGACTACTCTATTTAAAACGTCACCATCTCACCCTCACCTCTGACACTTCTCATCTCAGTTTTCTGTTTTATTGTTTTCCATAGCAAATATCACCACTTGACATAAAATATATTTCTTATCTATTTGCTCAGTGTCTTTCTCCCCCTGATTAAAACGCAAACTCTATGAACGCAATTAGTATTTGTTTTTTTCGCTGCTATCCTC